CGAAACGTCGAAAATATTAATCCGTGTGAAAAGAGTTAGACTAACAAGAGAAATGTGAACGATCCGCACGTATTGCACGATCGAATTATATTATTGACGCGATTCGAGACGACGAAAGAGCACCGTCTTTTCAGGGGGGAAGCGTCGATTCCTGGATCACGTTCGAGACGCCCGAGTTTTCATTAATTATTCGTGCCGGTTAATTACGGGATTCCTGGCCGGTGTACATCGGCGTGGAGCATCTCCGGCGCGCAGTAACCGAGTCTCTACCGAGATTTCCCCCGGACTAAATTTTTCCCCCAACACTATTAAACACACTGTGAAAATAAATCGGCCCCCGGATCCATAAATTTCCTCGGTTTATCGCGTTCTCTTTTTTCTTACGCTGCTGCTAAGGTATTAAAAACCTTTCTTCCTCCTCCTCCTTCTTCTTTCCTTTCTTCTCTCTTCCCGTTCCAGAGGCGCACGCACATCTCGAAATTTCTCCTCCCGTGAACGAAGAAGAGGGAAAGTGTCTCTTCACCATGTGTCGTTCTCGCGCTCGTGTACGATTCGAGACGAGAGAACGTTAAACACGGGGGACACGAGCACTCTGAAAAATCGTCGCGCGAAAGTGGTTAGAAGGGGTCAAGGGGCTGCTTGCTCCAGTTGGGTCAAACTGCTGACTGTAGTGACGGGTAGTGACAGATGCTTCTCCCCATCCTTTTCCCATCCCCTCGATTTCTCGAGAAAATCCGGGAGAATCCCCTCGACGATGAGGAAAGCGCACCTGCGTATTAAACGTAAACGTTTGTAACTACTGAACTCGGTTCGATGGGACGATGATAATGGGATGGAAGAGAGGAGGAGAGCGCCAAAACCACTTCTTCGACGTTTCCACACCGACACCAACTCACTTCCAAGTGTTCGATAATTCCTTGACCACCGAACTTCCAGTGTTTGCGCCACTCCTCGCACGCCACTGGACAGAAATTAGCGTAGTGTACACGATCTCTTCCCGCTTGTTGCTGTAAACTGTTCCCCGACCGTTTACTCGACGCTTCCACGAGTTTCACGATTCCCGCCCCTGCGCGCGTAGGTAAAAAAAAAAAAAAAATCGAACGACGATTTCCATCCACCAGGGATCAACTTTTTTCCTTCTTCCTTTCTTTTTCAACGGATTAATCTCCTGCGGCCATCTGGCGGGAACCTCGGTCGAAACTCGGGGTAGAAATCATAATTGATTTGACTAATTTATGAAAAGGGAGGGTAGAGGAAGGGTGGATGGGGAGAAATGGGGCAAAGCTCGTTATTCTCCGCCGGCAGAATTTCTGGGGGAGCACGGTAACGCGGCCACAATGCTCGGCTCGACGCGTAAACCCATGATTACTATTGGCGTTACCGTTGTTCCATCTTGTCCCATTGTGGCGGCGATTGTTCCGGCTCGAGGAGTAATAAATTCGAGGATAAATTCGATCGTGTACAAATTTGGCCTGGTATAATTTGGGAAATGTTTTTAAAATCACGAGTTTTAGTTCGTTCGACAATCTCCTCGAGAGAGAATCTCGCTCTCCTCTCTTTCGATTCGGGTCAACCATTTGGCCGGTATAAATGAATGGTTGAAATATTCAGAGATAATCGCGCCACCCGTGTATCATTATTAACACGCGAAAATTTATCTCTGATACATCGGTGCATAATTCTTACCGAAAATGTATATGTATGTATATATATACGCGCGTGTGTGTGTGTATTCGTATATACAGGCGAATTATAAAAGCGCCTCCGCCAGATTTCCACAGCTGCACGTTTGACGAAGACAAATGTGCATTTGTTTACCGGGCAAAATTTCATTTCCAAGAGTCATTAGACCTGGGGATATTGGCACGAGCCTCTGTGCAACTACTTCGCAACTTTCCTCCACTCGAAGCTATAAATAAAGAGGTCACATCGCTCGAGAAACCGATCAATCAACGCGACTGCATAGCAACTTATTGTCCTTATTGAAAAATTATATATGGACAGAGAGAGAGAGAGAGAGAGAGAGAGAAGAACGTAATTTTTAGCTGGAAACGAGAGGTAAAATTGCGCGGATAACAGGTTGAGGAGGGAACAAGAAGTAACTCGTTCGTAACGTTTTGCGGTTTTCCTCTTGTACTTGCAACTTGAAGAACGAGGGAAGAGGTCTCTTTCTTTCTCTCTCTCTCTCTCTCTCCTTCGAAAGAGAGATAAAAATCGATCTTGAACGGAAAAATATACGCTTGCGTTCCATCGACTCGCGTTTAAATTCTTTCTCGCGTGGAGGAATTATTCGGTTATCGAGTCGAGTGTGTGGTTCGGCCCGAACCCAAACTCTTGTTCCATTTTCCGCAGGACCGACCAGTTCGATTTATAAACGCATTCTCTCCCTCGAATGCGCGAAATCGATCATTCGATAATTGAAGGGGGGAGGGCAGGAGGTCGTAGATCGGAAGCCTCGTGGAGAGGACGTTCGACAATCGAGCAGACGGCCGATTATTTGAAAACGAATGACGGAGACTCGAAGCGACATCAAGCATTCATCGATGCATCGTTTAATGGAACATGGGACGATCGTGGAACGTGACTGGCCTTTGTTACGTTAAATTCGATGGAAAATAGCTCGAAATTTATCGTGGCCACGCTGTTTCGTTAACTTCCCTTTAACTCGTTCGAGCCAAAGCTTTTTCGTAATTTGCTGGTCGGCCAACAGATATCGCGAAAGGGTACTTATTGGCGAGATTCTGAAAAAGAGAGAGAAAAGAAAAAAAAAGAAAAAGAAAGGAAATGAAAGAAAGAATGAAAAAAACGATATAGAATTTTCTTAGAAAATTTTTCCACCTACAATCGCGCGTTAATCGTCCTGCTACCGAGAGATTATTCAGATTTAGCCCGGATTAAGTATTTTCTCTTCTCCTCTGTCGGCTTTCCCCGGATGAAATCTATGAACGTGGCAAATCCGGATCTCGGTATATCGAAGAAGCAACGCGAACGTGCAACGTTTCGCCAGAAATGTGAAGGTAGACGAAGACGGTTCGTCGTAAATCAAACGTATATCGATATCGGCGTTGCTTTAACAAATGATCTTGACCCGTGCGAAAAAGAGAGAGAAATGTCGCGAACGTCGTGTATTTCCTAACCGATAAGTTTGCCAATTAAAAAAAAAAAGGAAATAGCCGGAAAACGGAGACGAAACAGAGAAGAAAAATAATAACGAAATAGATGTGTCGTACATAAATAGAAAGGAGGAAAGAAAAAAAACGTATCGAAAAGCTTCTCTCAAAATGGAGGGAAAAAAAAAGGAAAAACCGGGCGTTGAATGGGGAAAGTAGTTCACGGACCGCGGTGAGAAAACTCGTTTGAAACTCGCAAAATGATTTCCAGTTCTAAGTTTGATACAATTTGCATACGCGTATATACGTGTATTTCACCCTCACGGTCCTCTCACCTTTATTCTCCCCCCCCTCCCCCTCCACCCAGGCCCGATACACCGCTCGAATTCGGGCTTTCAACTTGTAACTGCTGCAGCTCCGCCGACCGACCGATTTTCCGACGATTAAGTACATTAGCCGTAATGACGGTACAAGGGGGTGTTCAAAGGGCGCTCCGCCGCCGTTCCAACCAGCCGGGCTGCCCCTATTCTCTCGAGGGCACGCTCGACGAAACGGAATTCACCGTTTTCAGCTCGCGCGCACAACTACTGGCCAACAATTAACAGTGGAGGAAACGGGCGTTCCTGTGAAAAATCAATGGCCAATCCCGCCGAGTCTTGGGGAATCGGGAGGAATGCACGCGCGCGGATCGAGGCGAGGATCGATTTTTTCGTCGTCGATAAAGGACGAAAGGAAGAGGAAGAGAAAGAAGGCCGGTTGCTGCGGCGCACGAGTCACACGCGTTACAATTTATTCACAAATCTCTAAATGTCTTAGAGCATAGAACGCTTACCAGGTTACACGCGTCGGGACCTCCGCATCGCGCACCATTGTCCTGCGAGTTTGGTGGTCGCGTGATCACCTATCCCACGCTAACATACTTGTGTCGCACGACGGATACTACTTTTTTCTCACTCCCCCTCCGCACTCCAACGATCGACGATCGAAAACTGCGATCGAATCCCGACGAAAGACAGCGGGAGAGGAGGAAAGGTGGCGGTTGTCGAGATGGATGGAACGCGGAAAACGCGGAACGAAGCGACACACCTCTGTGCCACCAGCGACGACAGAGTTGATGCGGACCGCGGAAGGGAGGCTGCGAAACTGAGATGAAACCACGGCGCAACCCCGGTGCGCGCGCGCACCAAAACCACCCCCGGAATACACGGAAGCAGCCCGGCCGAACCAACACTACCCCCTCCCCTCGCCTACAACACTACCCTCCAGGACTACCACGACGACGACGACGACGACGACGACGACGACGATGCTCCCGCTTCCATTTTTCCCCGTATCTCCTTCCTTCCCTCTTCTTTTTTCAGGCCTCCTTCGTTAACTCCCGCTGCCCTTTGATCCCGCCAAACATCCAACGCCGTTTCTCTCTCTTCTCGTCGAATTCAATCGATAATCATCAACGGTGATCGACGACTGCACGCTGCACTGTTGTTTCCCACGCTGCGCACTTGATCGATCGATTCCACCAATCGTGAGAGCGGTCTGGAGAAGAGCGAACGAATTGGGAGTTAATTATGAGAGAAGATCGTGGCAAGGTTGTAGTTGTTTCGATTTATAAATTTTAACAAATTTTGAATTGGGAATAATTTAAAGTTAAAGGGGAAGGGAAATTACGTGTCTTTTCTGTTACGTGTTCGTTTGGATTATATAATTTAACGGATAAAGTATCGGGTGGTGGAAAAAAGGGGATGGAGGGTGATAAAACAAATTTCAAGCTTTTCCAGTGAAATTTCACGCGATTAGAGGTGAAGCTCGTCGATAGTGCTCGAACAATGTTGCTCATTCCACTGAGTTTAATTGGCAATTACGTGGCCGTTGGCAAACCTATATTTTTTTACATTCAGTTAATCGAAACGCGGCCTCATAGAGAACCTCTACGTCTGTCTACTTCCAATTACCCTCGATCCCACGTTTTCCCAAATTCGGGTTAAATTCGCGTTGACCGAACCGAATGCCAAACTTTCCCGTATATCAAATCTCGTTTCGAAACGATTGTTAGAAAATTTCTCGAATTGAATCAACGCCGTTGATTTATGCGCCGCCAACAAAACGAAAAAAAGGCGAACGAACAAATGGCGGATGTGAGCGAACAATGTAAATCGCGGTTATGAATAAACCAACCGAATATACGAATAAATAATAAGGGGAAAGTGATTTATTTATTTATCGAAACAAATCGACTTCCTTCCGTGGATTGGCGTAAAGGTTGGTCGCCACGTGTTGGATACGCGCTCGACTTTCTATTCTTTGCCAACGCCATATTAGATAAAAATACTAGGAGAAAAATTTCGTACCGAGAGAAACGAAAGGATCCCTTTATTAAGGAATCCTTAATAAAAATGTACGGCCATGTAGCCGTAGGTGGCGAAGATCGATGAAAGAGATTGCAGGCGAATTTTACTTTCGTCGTATCGGTCCATCGGTTAATCTACGAGATTTTTCAGAGATAAATACGAAGAGATAAATACACGTGGATGTTTCTTAATCAACTATCGAAATATCGAAACTAAAATACTTGGATCATTTTCGAGCGTTCGGATTAAAATTTAAACTATCGATGTTCCAATTTCCACTATCGAGTTTTACGAGAGGTTACAGAGTCACCGTGTGTAATCGTTATGTACTTACGAGAATAAACGAGAGCACTTTCGAGGCGTGAAGTTACCCGTTGTCTGCGAGAGTTAAGTTTCCATCGAGTTTCATCGACGGGATGAACAAGCCCGATACAACCATCTTCCCACTAAACATATAACACTCGAAACGCAACGATTTATTTGACGATTTTGCAAAAGCACGCAAACTATTCATCGATGTTTCGTATTCGCAGCTTGGATATCGGGCCACGATCGATGAAACGCACAACAGCAACAACGCGTGTTAAAAGCGTTCTCGCCTCGGGACGAAAAGTGATTTTCCAGCGTCTTCCCGTACTTTTTTCCCAACACTTTCGTCCGTTTCCAAGGATTCCGGCAGAACGTTCCCGTAATTACACAGCCTTCTGTTCAGAGTCGCCTCGAGCGTGTCCCAAGATGGCAATTCGTCTTCATTCTTCGACTCGGCGTAGTCCAATTCCTTGCTTCGAGCGATCCGCGTACTCCACGTCGGTGACTCCTCCCGACTGATCATCTCCGTGTTGAATTTACTTTCGCCCGTGTTATGATTCTCGCGTAAACTCGACCGAGCCGGCGAATTTCCTGAAATTGAAAAAGTTGTTTTCATGCCGTTATCGTAATCTTCTCTTCTAAGAAACCAGGTACACGACACGCTTCTGTTTATACACGCGCACGTATTCTACGAATTGTAAATTATCGTCGTATTTATATTCGACTCGTTTCGAGCGTCACGATAAAATCGAAAGACGCAAATATAATTATATATATATATATATATACTTTCTTTTTAAATAAAAATTAATATATATAATTGATACATATGTGCAATAAAAAACCTTTAATGGCATCCCAAATGTGCGGTGTGCGGTATCTTCTAAGCGTGATCGTTCCCATTATGGAATCTATCGATGAGTTGAAAGAGGATAACGAATTCGAGTCCCAGGTGTTGCAGGAAGAGAGCTGCCTCCTCATCGCGTTGCGTCTCAAAGTGTCGTGCATTTCTTGTATCTCCTTCTCGAGCTGCTTTTGATGCTCGGCGATGATTCGCCGCTCCCTTATTTCCGGCGATAATGGCGGGGGTGAATCCAAGAGATCCGACTCCGGCCTGGGACGAACAAAAGCGAATCTATTATGCAGCATCTCGGAGAGAGAGAGAGAGAGAGAGAGGAGGAGGAGGCAAAGGAACCGCACGCCATTAATGAAGCTTCGAAACGGGGGTGATCTTCTCGGAGTCGTACCTCGGTCTATAAAGCTGTCTCGGCGAGTTGGATGTGTACACGCTTCCGGTCTTCCTCGAGCGGCGAGAGAATTCTCTGGCCACGCGTTGCACCGCGTCCAACACGACCACTCGCTCCTCTCGTGGCAAAAAGGCGGCCGCTTCTTGCACAACCTGCGACAGAAAAACAGAATTTCTCTCTATTCTGGAGAACTTGCTGCTTGTGCAGTTCTATTTCACAGAGAGGGAAAAAGAACGAGTCGATTATTTATAACGGATAGATAAAAAAAGGAGAAACTTGTTTTTTTTTTTTTTTTTTTTGCCTAAACGAAATTGTTTGGGAAATAAGGAAAAGGGAAGGGATATTCGAGAAAGAAAGGATATTATTTGGTAATTCGAGCTGAAATCTGCGAAGGAGAGAAAGGCTGGGATACAGAGAGATCGGGTTTGGCGGGTTTTAGTTAGGATTAAACTTAGTTTCGAGGCGCAAAACGCATTTTCCATAAGCATAAGGGGGTGAATCGGGGCTGTCGCTCCTTAAGTAGAAAGTTAGTTGGCACATGGAGGATGGAGGAAAGGAGGGGAGCCAAGAGCTCCTCGGCAAAGTAAATACGCGTTCACATTTTTCCCTTTTTATTCGCTTTCTGGATAATACATACGTATTCGGAATGCCAGCAACACGGCATTCCCGTGTCGTCTACTCGCTCCGTCTTTCGAGACATCTTTCGATTTCCGTGGAAAAAATCGTGGAAACATACGAGGAAGAATCGCGATTCTAATCTAATCGAATGATCCTCTCGAATAAGCCTGTCTATTTCGAAGATGAACTGCTTCGATTTCACGTGGATCGATCGGTGTGACAAACAGAAGGAAAACGCGTTTCACTCGTGAATCCTCTTCCGGGAGAGGGGGGAGATTCGAACTTTGAATTCGAATTTTTTCGAAATAAAATCACATCGAAGAAAATTAGATGAAATTAGCGAGTGCGCAACAGATTGCCATAAGGTATTCGCGATAAAGATATAAAAATTAATAAAAATAAAAGAGAAGTAAACGATTTTTACCGTTTTCTTCTGTATCTATCCGTCCATATGATAGAAATTTAACAAAGTTAAATCGAGATTCTCCTCGAGGATCCGAGTTTTATTCAATTAGAAAAGATGATCCCGCATTTCACCCACGATAAAATCTCTCTTTCGAGAAGCTTGTTATCCACGATAATAACAATAGCGCAAAGTGGCGAAGAGATATCGAACGATGATGATATTTTTAAATCGATCGGGTTATTATGAGATAAAATAAAAAAAAGTAGAGAAGATCTTTCTTTCCTCTTTCTTTCTTTCTTTCGTAAGAGAGAAACGTTTGCCGCAAGAAACGAGAAGACAGGAGAATGCTTTGTGCTGCGTCACACGAAGTTTGGGAAAGCTTCGAAGACGTTACGAGTCCACCGTGTCTCGCGGGAGACAGACGGGATGGGACGAGTAAAGAATCGAACGTCGTTTATTTTGTTCGAAAGAACGGCCACCCCGGATACCTCGAACGATGAGAACATTAATCGGGTAAGTAACAATCGTCTCGGAAACCTCTACAAGGGAATTCCAATTGTAACTGCCATGTCCCAAGTGAGGAAATCGGACAGGATTTTATCGATCTTGTACTGTCTCTTCTTCTTATATATGGATGCCGCCTAATATGACAAAGCGGAAATATATCTATCAAAATTGTCCTATCTCATCCATGAAACGTTCGAATTTTTAATTTCTTTTCCTTTCTTTTTTTTTTTTCTTTTCCTTTCAGAATGAAAGATCCACGAGAATCCAAGACAATTGGAGGAGATGCAACGGAGGAGAGAAAGATTTCGGTGTGGAAATATGGTTGGCAGGCAGGATGGGTAAGTTACTTGGTTAGCTCGGTGTTACTTCATCCGAGGAAAAGAGGATCGAAGAATTTGTGGCGCGGTGAACGGCGTTAGTCGAGGAAAATGGGATCCCTCCAGGATCGTCGCTGACGAAAAATTCGGTCGTCGTTGGTTCACAGATATCGACAAGAGAGGATTGGCCTAACGTCCAACACCACCGAACCCTGGCTGACACCTATTAGGATTGGTTTAACAGGATCCTTCCACGAGTGGCGAAACGTTTAAGGCAGAGTCCAAAGGAGCCCGCCAACAAGAAAATCCTTTTGATCCCGATGAAATCTCGCGTTTCGGGAAACCAGGTTCTTAATGGCGGTCAAAAAACAAAAAATTTTTATCCACTTTCTCCAATTTGCACGATTTTTCTGCTCCTCCCTGTTTTTGAAGAAGAGCAAAGCGCTTGTACTAATTGCCCTAATTTGATGTTTTTATACGCAACGGTTTACCGACGATTTATGATTTTTACGGTTTTTATTTCATTATTATTATTATAACATTCAACGAATGTGTTCTATCTACTTTTCAATCCTTGCATTCTGATTTGAAAGCAATTGTAGCGGAGTACGATTTATTTTTCGTCGGGTAATTTTATCTCCATCTTTTTGTGGTACGTAAAAATCGGGGGAAATGACGTTTCCGCTAATAGTAATGGGATCGATTCAATTATAAATATTTTATTCGATATAGACATTTGATTGAAAATTGCCAACTTATGTTACATTGAAATAAAAATAGCTTCTTTATGAATAAAAAGCAGCATTTTTTTTAATATCCCTGTATCGATTCATCTTTCTTTTAATTATTCCTTTCTTTTCTTTTTTTTTTTAATCCAATTCATACCATCTTTTATAATAATTTACACATATACGTATATATTTTTAATTTCGAATATTATATAAATAATAATAAAATCAAAGATTACTCGAACGATCGTTCTTGTCTAATGGAAATGATCGAATGATCCAAAGGAGAAGATACATTTTTATCAAACTGTCTGTACACGTAAGTACACGATGTTTTGCAAGAACGTGGCTACTTCTTGTACTAGCATCGCAACTCTTCTCGTCGTTATTACGGTAACACGATCCTTTGAAGTAACGTCGGAACCCGATTTTATGATCTCTCCTTAAACCGAGGTTTCACTTCGCAGTTTCTCGTCCCCGGCTTTTCCCGAAGCATTAAACCGGATTTCAAACTGGCGCAAATGCAAGAAAAACGGAAGTCGTTCTTAGTCGCGGAAGACCAAAGACGCTCGCCCATCACCTGGCAAAAAGCGGCCATCTCTTTTAAATACGTCCTTTGATTACGCTTGTGATCAAACTTAATCGCGGAACGAATTCAACTCCTCCTCCCCTCTTCCCTTCCTCCAGAAAATAATAAGCCTGCGTTAATTAACAATTACATTCGCTTGGATAAGCGAATAACTTCGTTAGATGTCAAACGAAACGCTACATTGAAAATAATAAAAAAAATGTTGTTAATTGAGAAGTTAATGTGCACAGAATAAATCCTCTCGTGGAGAATTCTTTTTTCGATTATTATAGTATTCTTTTTTTTATTATATATATATATATATAATTTATGGTATCGTGTATCTTTAAAGTGTAGCATCATAATCGTTGGATATCTTCGACGATTCATTTTGGATCTCGTTTAAAATTAATAATGTATTTGCTCTGCATTCGTTCCTTCTGGAAGGTTTATCCGAAATTAGATATCGATACAAAATGATTAATTTTATAATTAATTTTTCTATTACTTTCGAGACGAAAGTACACGAGTACTTTCGTACTACACAATATATTTCCTTCGAAAAATGTTTAATCGTAATATTTCCAAAACTATATTCTTTTTCTACCCAAATCCCTTTTATTTTTCACAAAATCACCGTTGTTATGCTATTTCATGTTAAGAACAAAATTCATGAAATATGAATTGTACGCGTTTTTCGTCACTGAAAGAGAAACAAAAAAGAATCTTCAATTCCGCGTATTCTCGGAAACGCGATCTCTCCTCGATTTTCTGCTACGATTCGAAACGTTTTACGCGAGATTCAATGAATAAAAAAAAAAGAAAGAGTGATTTAATACACACGTTCCATTAACACGCTTATTCGCGGCCCGATTAAAAGTCAATTTATATTCGTCGGAGATTCGCGCGAACGGAAAAGAGGAACGATGCAGGATCGGGTCTCTTAAACGGCGACGTGTGAGCGACGTTTAATTCTCGTTGTCAAGAAAGAAGTTTCCTGGAGGGAGATAAACGTTCTTTCCACACACACACACACACGAGATCTTTTCTTTTTCTTCGTCTCGACACGAGCTCGAGCCTCGTCCAATAATCCTTTCCACACATCGTACGCGACTAATCGCGATCAAAGGTGTTAGTCGATCCTAACACGGTTATCAACGTAGCTATTAAATCCACTGCCGCTCAATATGTATATATATATATACACGTGGATGGATATAAGAGCGGGGTAATGGGTGGCGTGTCAAGGAAGAAGCGGGAAATGGCAGAACTCGAGCAACGAAGTCTGGGCGAACTCCTCCTTCGAGTTCCGCCTCTCGATATTATTGTCTGGCGTCGTCGATTCGACGTCACCGTGTCCCAGCGTGCTCCAAACGCGGACTCGGACGCGAAATTATCCTGGAATTGCCTCCGCGCGGCGGAAATCCGTGCTCGTCTAATCTAATGAAACTGCGCGAGCTGTGTGTAATTAAGGTGGCTCGCGCTTGCGGAATTGAAAGCCGAAACTCCAAAACCCGGGCAAACAGTGGAAACGCGAAGGAGGATCCACGAGTTTTCACGTGGAAATTACTACTACTAGGAGCTACAAATAGCATCGGGGCCGGACCTGTATAATAATATATTCGTTCGACGATTTATTTCGTTAGTTGATTAATCGTAAACGCAGTGTCGTTGTTGATCTTAAACAACTCCTTTTCGATCTCTAAATTGTTTAGCATTTAAACAAACGTATCTCGATTTCTTAAAAAACTATCAAAGGCAATCTCTCTCTCTCTCTCTCTCTCTCTATTGACAACGAGAGACAGAAGTGAAAGAGAGGTTCGATCCAAGGAAAAGGAAATGAGAAGAGGGAAAAGTTTCGTGGAACTTACCCTGAATTTGCCGAGGGAGACGATGGCGGAGATTAGATCGCCGGGTCCGCGGTGTCGAGCTCGGGACCTGCTCATCGACGCGACATACGTCAAAGGGCTGGCATCCCTCAATTCCGTGTGTCCTGCAACCCCTAACGAAAATATTGATCTTGCGCCTACGCTCGGCGTGTAAAACGTAAAACGTAAGCGCCAGAAATTTGCCTACGTCACCGAACCGGGGATTTAAAACGCGATACTCCCCCTCCCCCAGTTCTCTTGATCCGTCCATCGTGCACCTCGGTATTTTCGATAACGTTTCACGTCGCGTATGATATTCCGCGAATCTTTGTCGCCGAGCGCGTTTAGTTACGCGCGCGATAGATTTGTAAAAAGAAAAAAGGAAGGAATTTATCCTGTATCATCGAGCAAGCGTTCAATTTCGATTTCCGTGAATCCGGTATATAAACTGGGATAAGTTTCAGAAAAACAGACACGTGGTGGTGGTCGTCACATCATTTAAAATGATATCGGCGATATCATCGCAATCGTAAAATCTTCGTTGAAAGAAAAAAAGGGAAAAAATAGAAGATTAATATTTCTCGTTCGTTCTCTTCTTTTTTTTTTTTTTTTATCATTTTATACGAACAAAGCCTCTTTCGTTCCGGAGGGGGAAAGCCGAATATTGGTAAAAATTTTGCCATTCGGATTTTTTTTTATTTTTTTTTTTTTTTTTTTTGTACGGACGACGTAGTAGTCGGTATCGGCTCTTTTTTCTCGTCGATTCTCCGCCAGGCTAAATACTCGTCGTATATATATATATATATGTAGCTGGGAAATAATTAATTTCACTTGATGTTGCTTCATTCGTAAGAAGCTCGGATATTTTCGAACAAGGGAAACTAGAATTTGCCCGTGAAAACAAGAACTGGGTGTTGGGCGAATCTAATTAATTTTCTAAAACTCAAACACCCGACCGTAATACGACCTTATTATACGTATTATACAACGACAAGTTTCCATCGAATGTATTAATGTATTAATACGTAAGAGCAGTAAAGTTCGTTCGAGCGCGTTGTGTATCGCTGTGTTCGCTAATTTATCGTGTCAAGTTTTAGCTGGCACCTCCTTCTTTCGTTTTTTTTTTTTTCATTATCATTGCTATCTCACCATTATTGTCAGACGGTGTACTCTGCGATCCCGTCAGAGAATCGAATAACTCGCTGGCTCTGGGATATGCGCTCCTCCTCCTCCTCCTCGTGATCGTGCTGACACTTCTAACCTTGCTCCACGTTGAGAACGAGCTGGGCCCTTTGTTCCCCGCAAACGTTAGATCGAATTTAATCGCTTTGTCCCCTGGGAGGAAAATCAGGCGCAAACAATTCCCCGAACGTTCGATCATCCTCGCCATATTTTCGGCCCAACGCCACCCCTTGGACATGTAATCCACGATCCCGTGGCCGGGTGTAATTTCCTCGGTTACCACCGATTTGCAAAACATCGACAACGATCCCATCTCGCCACGCCAAATTTCTTGCCTCGTCCTCCAGGATGAAGCCAGCCAACCGTGCTCCCGCGTACCGTTGAAAAGATTGTCCAAATACGGACGCAGAACAGGCTCGAGGATCTTTCGATCGTTGTCCATGCCTTGAAACGAAACGAAACGTTGATTTCGGCCTCGCTATCTCGATCGTTCTCCTCACCCAAGTGCAGCCAATGCAGAAGCATCTTGGTCATCACACGCGTTGATTCCAAGTCCGTTTCTCGATCCTTTCTAACGGCATCGATCAAAAGCCCGACCGAGTAATCGAAGCGACCGGCCCAACGCCTCTTCCTCCTCGACTCCGCGCAACGATCGCGCGTCTCTCGTTCCGTTACCACGCGAGCCCAAGCCTGCGTCGAAACCAGCCTCAACAGGAACACGAGACTTTCCACCCGTTCCGTGGCGCAATACGACAAGTTCGAGCAGCTGCGATTATCCGAATCGCCTACGTGGAAAGTAAACTAAGTAATAAGTCATTATTCTTTCTGGAATTCCGTACCTGCGACAAAGCGTCCTTTGCGCCCAGAGCCTGTTCCACGATCATGGTCAGATACTCGAACTGCCTCTCGCTGTACCCGTGACAATCGTCGTTGCTCGACCGGGCTCGTCTTCCGGGCAACGCGGCCATGATCTCGCGCCATCCAACGATGAGCTCGTTCTCCATAAGATCCACTGGCCTGGCCACGCCACCCGTTATCGAGAAGGAGTAAGAGCGAAGCGTTTCCAAGTATGATTCCAACGATCGGCAATCGGAGGCGTAAGAATCCTCGTGATGCGGTATTCCACCTTCGATAAACGAAACAATTTCTTTCTTAATTAAATCGCGCCGCGATCAAACAACAATCGTACGATATATGTATACACATGGCGCGTCGAAATGAAACGAGCGGGATGAAAAACGGCAATGCGTCGTCGAAACAGTTTATACGAACAAATTGCCGATACGTTCAACGGCCACGATAATGGCACGCGTCGTTATCCTCGCTAATTAAGAATTTCCATGGAAACCAGACGATCACGCGTTTCGTTTGCACGCGTGTCCTCGCGTGTCGAGATTATCGATTGTTGTATATATCGACGAAAGGGGAAGGAAGAAAAAGGAAAGAGAAAAGAAAAAGAAGAAAGGACGTTTCGTCCTTCTAACTAACACTCCATTTCTCCCCTCAAATTGAATCACCTCTCACGCATTGCAGCATCACGTTGCACCGTGGATGAAGGTAACACCTCAAGCTCTGGCATTTCAGAGCGGCGACCAACTCGTCCAGCGCTAATAGAACGTGACGCGAGAGGGTATCGGGCGCCCAGCTCGTCAACGGATCCGGTCCGCCCCTTTCCAGCCTCCAACGGTGCACCGTTCTTAAGATGTGTCTGGAGACTACTCGTAGACGCGCGACCTCTGACGACCGAGCTCCAAGCTCCGTTTTCACCTGAGAAAAATGTTCACCGTGTATATTTATCATCCACGTGCGCATCGATCGAGACGAGGATATTTTATTTTCCCGAACAATTTTCTTGAAAACGCGGCGAAAAGTTCAATGCGTTCGTTTCGATCGAGGGGGGGGAAGGAAAAGAGAGGAGAGATGGCACGTACGTCGTGTGAAAATCATTCGACGTGCGCGGCGTGTATGAGACGAGCCTAATATTGGATGAAGATGTGTGGAGGAAGAGGAACTCGACGGAATGTTTCGAATAGTCGCCGGTGAAAAAAGGAAACGCGAACGACTCCGAACTACTCCGTTCGAATATAAAATCCACGGAAACCGGTGTCGCGAATCGAAGGAGGCTGGAAGTAAACGTGTTACGAGGAAAAATTGATTTTTCGAGCGAGAATCACCTTTGGTTTCGCCGATAAATCCGTATTGCGCCTTCCCGTAGCTCGTACAAAATTTCGAGGAGCACGGATTCGGTGAGGGAAGGCACACTGTCGGAGGCGTAGTGTTGGCTCATAATTTTCTCGGCCGCCGGAACCCGCACCCTCCACAGAGTGGCTCGGTTCTCGCAACGTGCGCCGGAATACGGGCCAACGGCCACCGCGTACATACCCTGGAACAAACAAGGCGACAAACGGATGAATCTCTCAGGATGAGAATACGTCGAAACGTCGAAGATTTCGTGTAAAATTCGAGCAACCGAATCGGTCGAAGATCGGCTGATAACTTCGAGCAGCCAAGGATTCGACGTTTCGCGCGATTCTCACGATAGATGGTAAAAGAGCGGCGGTATCCGGTTGTTGGCGGAACGCAACAACCTTATTCTCGAGATGAGAAAGTATGAAAGTGAAATTTCAGGAACGAGAGCTCTTTTCGCGGATGGAACCGATTCCGTATATTGGAAACAAGTGCACTGAAGTGAAGTGCACCACGAAGAAATCTACGTCGTTCTCTACGTTTTTTTTATCAATGGATGGAAGGCGTCGAGCTTCTCTCCCCTTTGTTTTCTCTCTTCTTTTTTTTTTTTTTCTCATGCATAGATAGCGAATTTTTCTTCTTTTAATAATCGTTTATCTTACGAACGATACAATAAGATTAATCGATGCTCTAATTACATGACGCATGCTCGCCAGAGAGTCGATAAACTTCGCTTTTCGATATATACTTGGGTATATATATATATATATATATATATATATTGACGAATTGGAGCGAAACAAGTGGCGATAACGGGAATCGATGAACGAGAGATCGCGGTATGAATCGGTCGTAAAGATAGAAATAAGAGAATAATAAAAGCGTACGCAGGGATTCCATTATCGTTCTTACGCTTTGCGCTGCGGTGTAATGAAGGAGAGCATCGCAATGATAGAGTGGTATTCGTTGAGGATAATCCGCCGAGGCGGGCCACGACGACAATCCGATCCCGATTAATAATCTGACCTCGACCTCGCCACGCTTGACACCGTCCACGCCGATTCTGACCAATATCCCCTCGCTGTCTTCGATCATGGCCACCCGATTACGCCTCCTCGGCAACGATTCGTTCGAAATACCTGCACATATTACGATCCCCCGGTTATTTAAAGGAACATAGTTTTCGTTGAAGAAAATTATCGCAATCAGACCGATTCCCTTCAACGATCTAAATTCTAAGTCGTAACTTTGCCCGACACATCGAATTACCACGTTGCTTGGTGCAAACGGTTAAAGAAGGTAAGAGGGAGGAAAGGGGGAATGCAGTTTTTGGAAACAGTTTGGAAAGCTCGCCTTTGTTTCGAGAGATTCCTCGAATCTTATCTTCGTTGCTTTTCGATTTTAAAACTGATGAAATCGAAACTCTTGTATAATAAATGTAAGATGTCTACCTGGGCCGTAGAATATCCGGCAATGGTCCGGCTGTTTCAATATTTTATCGAGGATATCGGCGTCGACTACTTGGCCAGGTGAAACGCAAACTCTGTCGTCTTCCGGATCAATCGGGGTATCATCTGAAAACAGTGAACATCAGAACACTTTTCTTCTTGTTTAATCTCTATCGTACACTCGAGATCTATAAGAAACTCTATCGATACACAATTTAAATAGTTCACCTCGTTTTATAGCTGCGGCTAATAAATTTGCTAATTTCGCTTTCACGAGATCCCTTCTCAACCTTCCCGCGACGTCCACATACTCCCTCCAAATTTCCTTATCATCGAGGCTAAGTATCTTTAAATGAATGAAGCCTGGTGAAGACGCATCTTCCTCGATCGCGATTCCCTGCTCGGGACGATTTGAACTCGAGCTCGACAATGCATCTATCCGTAACAGATACTCGAACCTGAGTCGCTGGGCGAAAAGAAAAAAACGTGTTGAAAAATATGACGCCATTTCCTAGACGAGGATATTTCTCTCATTTTTTTCGATTCGACGAGTTATCGTTACGATTGCGATTTGCCCGCAATTTTACCTTCATTCGTCGTGGCTCGTTCAACGAAACGAGGAACATGGACGAGAATCTTGGATCGAGAGCGCTTGCACCCCGCACTAAACGTTGAATCAATTTTTCCACTGTGGCTTCGATCGCAAAAACGGGGTTAGAGACATCTGTAACTGAACATTGGAAAATTTTTAACAGTTCGTGATTATCGTGCGAATTCGATATATATAAATTATTCTTCGAATCGAAATGAAGAATAAAACGATAATCGAGAAATTGGTTATTCACCGTTTTCAGCCTCGTCGACCAGTTTACGGAAATATGTGTTCAGGTTGCACAGCTGACCTTTGGTGAAAGTGAGCCTCGTAGCCGTTAATCGAATACCACCCTTCTTGCACGATGATCTGCTAGCTGCACAGCCCATTTTCTCGGTCGAGAGAGAAAAAAGACGATGAAATTTCCGATCTACGAAAAATTAGTATTATTATTATTATTATTATAAATTCATTCGTGATACTCGATGATAATTTCGTTGATCAATCAATCAAGTTTGTGATCAAAAAATTACGAGGATTAAATCGTTGATACATTTAAGATATCATTTCAAACTATCAGTTTAAAGAAATTCCAAAGTAAATAATAAAAAGTACAGTTCACTTTTTTTTTTTTTAAATTAGATCGTCGCCACAACTTCGACTCTATCGTTTCGAATTATCGAGAATTTACGCATTAGAAATTTCTCAACAAATTTTTCACATGAAAAAGAAAGAAAAGAAAGAAACGGATTCGTTTGAATTTAGTTTTACGTTAGAGTATTACGTACCTGTGGAACGAGGATGAAGTCACGGGCATAGATTCACGGCAAATACTGAACGAACACCATGTCACGGAGTTAAAGCTACCGAGTGACGTTTCCATTCCATCCGGAAAGATATTGACACTTTGCGATCGTGACCGTGTAAATATACCGAATGTCAATTATTATTCAGCAGATCGACTAACAATACCATGACAGAGTTCGGCCACTGGAATTACTTCCGATCCTGATTCTGTGTACTTGACTTCCGCTCCTATGAACGTGTATCCGTTGCCTCTTGTGCGCTATGCTGTCATTACGATGTAATCAAATTAATTGCACGTACAGAGACTTCGAATTCGAAGGTTTTGAACGAAACGAAGAAAAAAAAATGTATTATATCATCATAATATTATAATACACTTAATACGCTTAAAATGTTTAAAGACGGCATATATGTTTCGGAGAATAAAAAAAGATTTATACTTTTCACGAGCGAATTCAATTGTACAAGATTTAATGTTATTTATATATATTCATATAAATGCTTTTTGCTTATGTGATTATTGATATTAACTAATATTATGATTAATTGTTATTTTTATTATTGTTGTTGTTTCTATATTTATCATCATCGTTAATAGAATAATTTGTTTAATTTGAGATAAAAAAAATTTAATTTCTATATTTGAAATAAAAATAAATGAATTTTCCTAATTCCCTCTAATTTCATCTTAATTACTCCAATTTCCTCTCTCTTAAATTCTCAACAAGAAAGTTATTTAAAATTTGATTGATAATAGATATTAATTTTATATATACATATATATATATTATAAAATATTAAACTTATATAATGTTTCAAAATATCTTTTGCTGGATCAGATTTTTATTCATTCAAATCTCACCATTGTCGCTAAACGATGTCTTGCGTCAAAACAATCGTATCATATATCAGATATTATAGTTTGTGATATCATTATTCTAGATATATATTGTAAAATTGAAAATATCTGTATTTCTTTTTTATATTAAATATTAAGATATATTGTAATTTAAAAAAAAGAAATCATGAAAATGCGTTTAATTAACATCCCATTGATTGTGATCATTCGCAAAGTATAGACAAGGAGAGCAAATAGTGGGAGAAACACAGAAATAGAGTAAAAACGAAGTAACTGGCGCCATCTCTAAAGTAGCGCGAAACTAAAAAAAAAGGAAAGCAAATATTACAAGAAAGATAAAAAATAGAATAAGAAAGTGACTGTCAGTGCCATCTCTTGAGTGTCAAAGATATCAAAGTGTAAAGATGATGATCTATGTAAGATAAAATAGAATATTATAGATAAGAAATGGAATAAAGATGATATCTTCCAGAATTTTATACCCGTGTCGAAAAGCATATGATTTATTATGTGTAAATCACATATTGATATAGCAATTGTTTTTAATATTACAATCATTTTTTTAATTGCCGAATCGGTAATCGCTTGTGACAAAAAATGCTATAACACGAAAAAACATTGCACATTTATTCTATATATCATCTGTGATTTTAATCCAACTGAATACTATATCGATAATATTGAAAACTATTAAAATGAACGGATTTAAGAAATGCTCTCATAATCTAATTGCTTTTTTTTTTAAATTAATATTAGAAGAAATGCCATTTCAATAAATATTGCATATCGAAATAATCATAGTTATGGACTAATATTTATCTTAAGAATATTATTAAAATAATAACATAGTAGTGACATCTTACATGTATGGAATTGTACGCATATTATTATTTTCAAGACACAGGGTATTTCTGAAGGGTTGAGGTCCTCACGATCGCAAAATGGCACGCGGATAGTAAGAATTATCAAGAAATATAATAAAAAATATACACGGCGAACGATCGTACTGAATAACGATGGCGTCGGCTTACATTAAAGATGAACAAGGTGATAAATTTCATTTTATTTAATTACTTAATTTATTTTAACTATTGAATTATTTATAACCTGTAAATGTATTTATAACATGTAAACAACCTCCATTTCACGATAGTGTTAAGTTAAGTTCTAATATTTATCTATCTTCAAATTTTTAATAAATATTAAAAATTGTAATAAAAGACACATTATATCTTGAATAAAATCTAATGCAAATAATATAATAAACATATTTAAAAGAAGATATTTATGTTCATTCATAAAATTAATTTTTATTACAAATTTTTTCATAGGTGGGACATTTATTCCTGCCAGTCAACGTCCAGATGGTACATGGCGTAAACCGCGTCGTGTCAAAGATGGTTATATACCACAAGAGGAAGTCCCACTGTATGCATTTATAAAAATATGTTAAATTTTTCTTTTTGGTATCATATGTATCATTTCCTTTCAGATATGAAAGCAAAGGTAAACAGATAAAAAATAAACCTATATATCCAATAGGTGCAAGTCCAGAATTTATAGCTGAGCATAAAGCTAAACAGGAAGCATTACTAGCAGCAAAATCTAAAACTATTCCTGGTGCTTCAGTTAAAACAGAAGTAAAAAAGAAAAAGAAAAAAAATAAAAACAAAACAACTGAACGTATAACGGAAGAATTAGCTAAAACTACTCTTTCAGAATCAGATCAGAAAAAAGAATTATCATCACATAATAGTAAATCGCAAACTAATATAAAAACAATATCTAATAATCAAACATCAGTTCCCAAATCAAATGTTCCAACACAATCTGAAATTTCAATACCAGATCCACAAAAAAGGTTGAAAAATTTAAGAAAAAAAATTAGAGAAATTGTAACATTGGAAGAAAAGATAAAAAATGGTTTGTTAAAAAATCCTGAGAAAGAAATACTTGATAAATTAGCAAGAAAAGCTGAAATTTCAAAAGAAATAAAACGATTAGAAGCAAGTCAATAGAAAGAAAAAGAAAAAAATATATTTACCTATTCTAATGAACTATCACTTTATAGTTGTACCTAAACAAATGTGTGTTTTTCAAATTTTTAAAAATTTTAATATGATCTTATGTAATATCACTTTCTCATCCTCTTTATACAGTAAATGTATAGCAATATAAAAATGTACATTTATATACAGAAGATAAAAATTAAATACTAATGAATTTAGTATGCTACAACATCACTATGTGAAAGACCAATCAGATTTTAATAAAAAATTGTTTTTGCATATTATATGTTGTTATTTATATAATAAAAAAATAATACTCTATGTAATATATATATATATATATATATATATATATATATATT